CACCACATTGGCGGCCTCACTGGGGAGTCTAGCTGACAAATTGGGTGAATCCAGGCAAGTAAGTTATGCTGGGCCTCAATTTTACCCTCAAACAAAACTTACATGAAAAAAGAAAAAGAAATTCTTACCTATGAACGAACCAGCATAGTTATTTGACATGAATTTGAATCATGTGGCTCAAAATGACGACACAGACCTGTTAACCGAGTATCACTTTATGTACCAAATTGGCAGATACAAAAATCCTATTTACATTCATTTCCATAGGGAAGTTAGTTTTAGATCATGCAAAAGCTGTGTTGTCAGGTCATCCTTGAAAAACTGACAAGTGCGAGCAGTCATGTAGTATCACTACCATGAGAAGGCAGTGCCAGAGCCAGGCTTTTCTTCAATTATTTGCCCAATTTTTATTTAAAATTTTTTTTAATTTATTTATTTGTAAAGATTTATTTATTTACTTGACAGGCAGAGTTACAGACAGGGAGAGGGAGAGACAGAGAGAGAGAGGTCTTCCATCTGCTGGTTTGCTCCCCAAATGACTGGAACATCCAGAGCTGGGCCAATCCCAAGCCAGGAGCCAGGAGCCAGGAGCCAGGTGCTTCTTCTGGGTCTCCCACATACGTGCAGGGGCCCAAGCACTTGGACCATCTTTTACTGCTTTCCCAGGCCACCACAGGCAGCCGGATCTGAAGTGGAGCAGCTGGGACTTGAACTCATGCCCTTATGGGATGCTGGTGCCACAAGCAGATGCTTAACTTACTACACCACAGTGCCAGCCCCAAGATTTATTTATTTGAAAGGCAGAATTACACACACAGAGAGAAATCTTCTATCTGCTGCTTCATCCCCCAAATAGCTACAACAGCCAGGTCTGGGTCACACAGAAGCCAGGAGACCAGAACTCCATCTGGGTCTCCCAAGTGGGTGGCAAAGGTCCAAGTTCTTGGGCCATCTTCTACTGCTTTTCCAGTTTCAGTAGTAGGGAACTGGAAGCAGAACTGCCAGGACTTGATCCAGCGCTCACATGGGTTGCAGCATCATTGGTAGTGACTTACTCAGCTGTGCCACAATGCCAGCCGCCATTCAATTTTTAAATATAGGGGCGATGCTTCAAAAAAAACTGGGCACACTGTGCTGAGTTCTTCCAACTTGGAGAATTTTGAAATAAATATATGACTGAGCCTTCTTCCTTTAATGCTCAAATGTTTTCCTGTTGAAAATTTGTATAAAGACATTGTAAAACTTCAATGGCTCCTTTACTGGGTTCAGCTGAACCTAATCTTGTTGCTGTATGAACCCAGGGCATCAGGACGAATGTTGTGGGCTCCACCCCAGAGATGTGGAGGGTTTGCTTCTGGATGCCAAAGTTCTGCAAAGCATGCTTGTTTGTCCAGCAGTAGCTGATTCCAAAAGGTACTTTCTCTTTCCTCCCTGCTCCTGTACAGATTCTACTCCATCCCAGTGCCCTCCACTTTCCCCACGTGGCTTATTTTAATCAATCCTGTGAATTGGATTGCAGAAAGCTAAGGGTTTCAAAGCACAAAAGTTAAATAAAATCCAAGTTATGAGTTAAGGCCCCAGGATTTCACCCATGGAAAAGAGTAGGCTTTTGTGGAAGGGGTTTCAGTGGCTCAGAGATGAATTTCTGAGGCAGTGGGAATGGACTTTGACTCTGACCCAACTTAAGACCCTATCTGATTGGGAGGTCTGAACTTGGCCATCCTATAGTATACTTAACATTAAATGCTTGTGTTACACAGGGATATGTTTACAGCAGGTGGGAAAGGCAGCTGGTGTGGTGTTGGGAGTGGCTGCAGGCCAGGTCCAGGCCTTGAAGCCTACTACTGCTGTGTGCCCAAGGGATGCCTCAGTCACCTCATCTGTGTGGTGAAGTAAAAGAACAGGACTGTCATGAGAAAGCATTATTGTTTGTAAAGTCTGTAGCAGAGTGCTGGCACATGGCATGTGCCAAGTTGGTGTTTGTAGGCACAACAGAATAAAATAAATCATACTTAAGTCACTACTCTCATTTAATGGCGAAATAATTTGATTTGTTTTTGCCAGTTGTTTATCTGAGAGTGAAGCCATTAAGTAAATGTCTCTCCTTCATTTGTTTATGGAAAGCAAATCAAAACATCTGAATGTTCCTGGGTGCCAAGCACCATGAGAGGTGCTAAGATATTGACTCCAACCACACAATTTCTTTTCTCAAGAACTACCTTAAGCGAGACTCCACAATGTCCCATCATATGACCTGCTACTGTAGTGGAGTTTCTTTTCTTTGAAAATCTGCCATTTCATTTTGACACAGGTAAAAATTTTTGAAGACAACTAAAAGTTTGATTAAAGTTATTCTATTCATTAGTGATGAATAGATTTAGGGACTCCTAAGATGATTTACATATATTCCTACAAAAATTCTTTATTTGTTTTTATTTTGCTAACATGTCACATTAGTGTGACAGGAATGAGCCCTTAATTCAAATGCTGATTTTTTTTAATTAGAAAAAATATGTGTTTGTCATAAAAAATCTACAAATTCAGATTAACATATGGAAAAAAAACTTCATGCTGCTACAACCCAGGCCAATGAGAGTTAACCTTTCAGAGATTTCCTGGGTTATTTTACCATACATTGTGTGTATTTGCCTGTACCCAATCGTTTGTTATATATGCATTTGTATACACAGATTGGAGAGTGGGGGTTCAGATATTGCCTCATGTTAGATGCTTCCTCTGCCTGAATGCAAAGATGTATTCTACTCGCCCACCACATCCAGCAAGGTGCTTCTGATTTGAGCCTGTCCAATGTTTGAAGAAGAGGGATTCATGTTAGCCAGTGACCAGGCTTCTGGTCCAAGGAAGGCAAGTTTGTAAGAGGTATTGGATGGGACCTTGGTTATTGGGTTTGTCTTGTAAAACTCAGTGGGAAGGCTCTACCTGAAGGTCATCTGGCCTAATTTCCTCCTTAATTTTTTCTTATCCCAATGATACAGTGGTCACACTGGAACCAGACCCCCAACTTCGTTCTCCCACAGCTATGATTTTGCACATGGCCTCATTAGATGATCTGGCACACAGTGGGCCTTTGATGAAAATCTGTTTAATTAAAAAAAATTCACCTAGAAGCTCACCACCAAGAGATAACTGCTGCTTCAAACATGTATTATTTTGGTCTACATACTGTATTTTCTAATTTTTCAGGTTGGTCACTTGAGATGATTACAACTGAGGGTTTTATAGGTCTTTCAATGCTCTTAATAAAGAAACAGAATTCTGACTAGTCAGGCCAAAGATATAATAAATGCTGGTGCTTTATCATTTAAAAAAATTTAACGTATTTGTTCTCATTTTATTTGGAAGAGACAGAGAGAAAGATGGAGAGAGAATGAGAGGGAGATAAAGATCTTCCACCCACTGGTTCATTCCCCAAATGCTAACAACAGCAAGGCTGAACCAAGTGGAAGCCAAAAGCCTGAAACTCCTTCCAGGTCTCCCATATGCATAGCAGGAACCTCATCTACTTAAGCTGTCATTTGCTGCCTCCTAGGGTGAACACCAATAGGAAAGTGGACTGGAAATGGAGCAGTCAGGACTTGAACCAGGACTTCAATGTGGGATGTGGGTGACTTAACCATTGTGCCAAATGCCTGCCCTGGGTGTTTTAAAAGGTGTAAAAAGTGGATCCAGCATTGTGGCACTGTGGGTTACGTTGCCATCTGCAACACTGGTGTCCTATATGGGTGCTGGTTCATGTCCCAGTTGGTCCACTTCGGATCCAGCTCCCTGCTAATGGCCTGGGAAAAGCGGCGGAAGACAGCCCTAGTATTTGGGTCCCTGCCACCCACGTGGGACACCAGTTAAAGCTCCTGGCTCCTGGCTTTGGCCTGGACCAGTTCTGGCCGTTGTGGCCATTAGTAAACCAGCAGATGGAAGATCTCTGTCTCTCCTCTAACTCTGCCTTTCAAATAAATAATTAAGTAAATCTTAAAAAAAATAAAATAAATTTTGCTGGGCTTTTTGGGTTTTCAAAAAATTATTAGGGGTGGACATTTGCCACCAAGGTTTAAGACACTGCTTGGGATGTCTGTATCTCACATCAGAGTGCCTGTGGAGTTTGAGTTCTAGTTCTGCTTCTGATTTCATCTTCCTGCTAATGCACACCATGGGAGGCAGCAGAGGATGGCTCAAGTAGTTGGGTCTCTGCCACCCACATGGGAGGCCCAGATTAAGCTGTAGACTTCTGGCTTTGGTCTGGCCCAGCCCTGGCTGTTTTAGGCATTTGGGGAATGTATCAGCCAATGGAAGGTCTCTGTCTATCTCTCTATCTTTCTCATTGTCTTTCTAAGTAAGTAACAATGATTTAAAAATTCACTTTGGTAGCTTATTTTACTCTTCATTCTGTATCTTCCTTGTGATCAATTAATAAGAAATCTAAAGTTTTTGTCTTATGATTAAAAAAGGAGGGGGGTAGTAAACTTTAATGATTCTTTGGTTAAACACATCAACAGCAGAAAAAGAGTGGGGAATCATATGTTTTAACATCAGGAGGGCCCCCTAGGCTTCTTAAGTGCTGAGGACAGACAGGGAGTAGAGGCAGCCGTGAACTTCCTGGCCTTTCCCACACTGACCCCATCTGCCTAGGGTGCAGGGCAGCCACTCTTCTCCACTGCCAACAGCAACACACTCTGTCAACACTGGGGCTCTCAGAACCAAGAGAGGGTCTGCTAGGTTCTGACCATGGCCCAGTCCTAGATCTGTCCAACTCAGCACCATGCTGTGCCCCTCACAGGCAAAGACGCCCAGAGGAAATACTGTCTGAAGGTGTTTGTGAAATTTTGTGAGACAGCTTTCCTTACACTTTGCTGTGGCATCACACAGTGCAGAAAGTGGCTCTATCCTGTCACACAGACTTTAAAAGTTAATGCTAAACAGGTTGTCTTTAATTTGCCATGTCAGCTACTGCTGCAGCCCAGATATCTTTAGAGCCAATCACTTACCTGAAAGGGGATCTCCAGTACTGTCTGGAAAGCCATTTTCTTCTCCCTAAAAACCAAAAAGCAGCTTTCATTAAAATCATATATATATTTCATTATATTCTTAGAATTGTATCTAGAGACTATATTGAATCTGTTAAAAACTAATTAAACGTTTAAAAGCATTAAAAAGTCATTTTCATATGAATGGACACACAGTATCAATTATCCAATCCAATTAAATTTCCATCAAAACCTTTGGGTTGGATTTTTTTTTTTTTTTTTGACAGGCAGAGTGGATAGTGAGAGAGAGAGACAGAGAGAAAGGTCCTCCTTTTGCCGTTGGTTCACCCTCCAATGGCCGCCGCGGCTGGCGCGCAGTGGCGGCGCATCGCGCTGATCCGATGGCAGGAGCCAGGTGCTTCTCCTGGTCTCCCATGGGGTGCAGGGCCCAAGCACTTGGGCCATCCTCCACTGCACTCCCTGGCCACAGCAGAGAGCTGGCCTGGAAGAGGGGCAACCGGGAAAGAATCTGGCTCCCCGACCAGGACTAGAACCCGGTGTGCCGGTGCCGCTAGGTGGAGGATTAGCCTAGTGAGCCACGGCGCTGGCCTGGGTTGGATCTTAAGAATGCCCTGTTTTATTTTTTAACAAGATTTATTCATTTATTTGAAAATCAAAGTTACACAGGGAGAGGAAGAGAGAGAGAGAGAGAGAAAGAGAGAGGTCTTTCATCGCTGATTCACTCTCCAAATGGCTGCAATGGCCAGGGCTTGGACTAGGCCAAAGTCAGGAGTCTGGAACTTTTTCTGGGTCTCCCACATGGGTACAGGTGCCATCTTTTGCTGCTTTCACAGGTGCATTAGCAGAAAGCTGGATTGAAGTGGACCAGCTGGAACTTGAACTGGTGCCTATATGGGGTATCAGCACCACAGGCAGAGGCTTAGCTTACTACTCCACAGTGCCGGCCCCACACCAAGAACGACCTTTTAATGGGGGTAAGCCAAAGTCTCCCTCTGAATGTAAGCTACATGAGAGCAGGGGCTTTTGTTTATGTTCTCCCTATACTGTGCCCCAAGACACAGTACAGTGCCTGTGACACAGCAGACACTCAGTATGTGTCATTAAATCTAATAGTGTCCCTATTTTTTAAAGAGTGTCAATGCATGTGATAAAGTTCTGTTTTATTTGAGATTATGGGTCATTTTATTTCCAATCTACTTTTTGTTAGGCTTGTTGTTTCCCTTACCTATTAAATGTTATTTCCTTTACCTATTTTTTCCCAAAGAAATCTTTTATTTAATGAGTACAAATTTCATATGTACAACTTTAGGAATACAGTGATTCTTCTCACCATACCTGCCCTCCCAACCACACTCCCAACCCTGCCTCCCTCTCCCATTCCCATTCTCCATTCAGATTCATTTTCAATTAACTTTATACACAGAAGAACAACTCTATACTAAGTAAAGATTTCAAAAATTTGCACACACATGCACAAAAAAAAAAAAAACACCTGAGAATCAGTTTTACAGTTAATTCTCATAGAGGACAGAGGTCCTACATGGGGAGTAAGTGTGTGATAACTCCTGTTGTTAATTTAACAATTAATACATGTATAATGTCAGTGATCACCCGAGGCTCTTGACATGAGCTACCAAGGCTCAGAAGCCTTCTGAATCCAGTCTCCATCAGTATTTAGACAAGGCCATAAGCAGAGTGGAAGTTCTCTCCTTCCTTCAGAGAAAAGTACATCCTTTTTTGACAGCCACTTCTTTCCACTGGGGTCTCTCTCACAGAGACCCTTCATGTAGGATTTTTTTTTTTTTTTTGCCACAGTGTCTTGGCTTCCCATGCCTGAAACGTTCTTATGGGCTTTGCAGCCAGACCAGAATGCCTTAAGGGCTGATTCTGAGATCAAAGTGCTACTTAAAATGATTTTCATTCTATGAGTCTGTTGTATGGACTGCTTCCCGTGTTGTAGCATTCACTCCTTTTTAATTCTATCTGTTATTATTACCAAACACTTAATCCTACTTATATGACCACTTTGACACTTAATCCTATGTATTAGATCACTTTGACACTTAATATGGCTACTTTAACTCTTAAGATGGCATTTTTACCACCCATGAAAGCTTTTTTTTAAAAGATTTATTTATTTATTTGAAAGTCAGAGTTACACAGAGAGAGGAGAGGGAGGAAGAGGGAGAGGGAGAGGGAGAGGGAGAGACAGAGGCAGAGGCAGAGGCAGAGGCAGAGGCAGAGGGAGAGAGAGGTCTTCCATCTGATGGTTCACTCCCCAACTGGTCGCAATGGCCGGAGCTGTGCTGACCCAAAGCCAGGAGCCAGGAGCTTCTTCCAGGTCTCCCACATGGGTGCAGGGGCCCAAGGACTTGGGCCATCTTCTACTATTTTCCCAGACCACAGCAGAGAGCTGGATGGGAAGTGGAGCAGCCGGGTCTTAAACCGACGCCCATATGGGATGCTAGCGCTTCAAGCCAGGATGTTAACCTGCTGCACCATAGTGCCAGCACCCCCATGCAAGTTTTTAAACTGTGCCCTTAGAAGTCCGTATGCAGAACTATACAGCTTTACAGTTACAAACTTCTTCCTCCCTCTCTTATTCCACTTTTATGTTTTACTGAGATCTATTTTCAATTGATTTTATTTACTTATGATTAACTCTATGTTAAGTAGAGTTCAACAAATAGTATGAAGAGAAAGGAAAAAAATGTTCCTTGACAGTCCAGACAAGGGCTGTTTAAGTCATTGCTTCTCAAAATGTCAATTTCACTTCTACAAATTTCCTTTTAGGTGACCCATTAGTTATCACAGATCAGGGAGAACAAATGGTATTTGTCCCTTTGGAACTGGTGTATTTCACTAAGTATGATGTTTTCCATATTCAACCATTTTGTTGCAAAAGACCAGGTTTAATTTTTTAACCACCATGTAGTATTCCAAAGAGTACACATCCAATACTTTTTTTATCCAGTCTTCAGTTGACAGGCATTTAGGTTGATTCAATGTCTTAGCTAATGTGAATTGGGGGTATAGATAACTCCTTTATTTGCTGATTTCATTTCCTTTAGGTAAATTCCCAGGAATACGATGCCTGGGTCATATGGTAGGTCTATATTCTGAGGTATCTCCAAACTGTCTTCCATAGTGGTTTTACCAGTTTATGTTCCCATCAACAGTGGATTATGGTACCTTTTTCTCCACATCCTCACTAGCAATTGTTGTTTCTTGATTTCTGTATGAAAGCCATCCTTACTGGGGTGAGGTGGAACCTCATTGTGGTTTTGATTTGCATTTCCCTGACAGCTAGTGATCCTGAACATTTTTTCATGTGTCTGTTGGCCATTTGGATTTCCTCTTTTGAAAAATGTCTGTTTAAATCCTTTGCCCATTTCTTCCCTGCATTGTTTGTCTTGTTGTAGAGTTTCTTGACCTCTTTATATATTCTGGTTATTAATCTTTTATCAGTTGTATAGTTTGCAAATAATTTCTTCCATTCTGTCAGTTGCCTCTTCACTTTCCTGTTTCTTTTGCAGTACAGAAGGTTCTCAATTTGAAGTAATGACATCTGTTAATTTTGGCTATTGATTGTCTGTTCCTTTGGGGTCTTTTCTAAGAACTCTCTGCCTATGCCAATATCTTGCAAGGTTTCAACAATGTTCTGTAATAATTTGATGGTATCAGGTCATAGATTTAGGTCTTTGATCCATTTTGAATGGATTTTTGTGTAAGGTGTAAGGTCAGGGTCCTGCTTCATACTTCTAAATATGGAAATCCAGTTTTCTCAGCACCATTTGTTGAAGGGACTATCCTTGTTCCAGGGAATGGTTTTAGCTCTTTGGTCAAATGTAAGTTGGTTGTAGGTGCTTGAATTGATTTCTGGAGTTTTTATTCTGTTCCATTTGACTATCCATCAGTTTTTGTACCAGTACCAGGCTGTTTTGATTATGACTGCCTTATAGTATGTCTTGAAATCTGGTAATGTTATGCCTCCAGCTTTGTTTTTGTTGTATAAGATTGCTTTAGCTATTCAAGGTCTTCTATATTTCTATATGAATTTGAACATCATATTTTCTAGATATGGGAACTGCCTTTGGTATTTTGGTTGGTATTGCATTGAATCTGTAAATTGCTTTTGGAAGAATGGACATTTTGATGATATTGATTCTTCCAATCCATGAACATGGAGGATTTTTCCATTTTTTTGTATCTTTTTTCTATTTCTTTCTTTAATGTTTTGTAATTCTCCTTTGACATCCTTGGTTAAATTTATTCCAAGATACTTGATTTTTTTCTAAATATTGTGAGGGATTGATCTTAGAAGCTCTTTCTCAGCCATGGAATTTTCTGTCCATACAAAGGCTGTTGATTTCTGTGTACTGATTCCACATCCTGCTACTTTACCAAACTCTTCTATGAATTCCAATACACTCTTGGTGGAGTCTTTTGGGTCCTTTACATAGAGAATCATGTCATCTGCAAAGAGAAATAGTTTGACTTCTTCTTTCCCAATTTGCATCCCTTTATTTCCTTTTCTTGCCTATGGCTCTGGTTAAAACTTCCAGGACTACATTGAATAGAAGTGGTGAGAGGGGGCATCCTTATCTGGTTCCAGATCTCAGTGGAAATGCTTCCAACTTTTCCCTATTCAATAGGATGCTGGCAGTGGGTTTGTCACAAACTGCCTTGATTGTGTTGAGGAATGTTCCTTCTATACTCAATTTGTTTAGAGCTTTCATCATGAAACGGTGTTGTATTTTATCAAATGCTTTCTCTGCATCTACTGAGATAATCACATGGTTTTTGTTCTTCAGTTTGTTAAGGTGATAAATCAAATTAATTTATTTGCAAATGTTGAACCATCCCTGCATACTAGGGATAAATCCCACTTGGTCTGGGTGAATGATTTTTCTGATGTGTTGTTGGATTCAATTGGTTAGAATTTTGTTAAGGATTTTTGTGTCTATGTTCATCAGGAAAATTTGTCTCTAGTTTTCTTTCTCTGTTGTATCTTTTTCGGCTTTAGGAATTCAAATGATGCTGGCT